ACATCACGAACCAAGTTATCTTGTGCATCCATTTGCTTGTTGGATCCAGACTGCGTCGAAAACTGTGGGAACTCCATGGACTTTCCAAGGTGCTCCTACTACAGCGCAGCCAACCGCTGTAGAACTGTGGGGAATACTCAGCGACTGGAGTGGCTTGGGCTGCATGTTGCCATCACGGTCCGGGGTGATGAGGGCAGAGTTGTGTAGGCGAGAATTCTGCACGCAGATCATACAGCACCCACCTTTCTATGGACTTGGTCCTTGGTAGAGGGATGTGTGGGCAACTTCCACACATCGATTCACATTCAATGATACACTGTATACTCCACCGCACAATGTATATAGGTGGCCGCTCTAATCACTTTGCCGCCTTCATCACCAGAACTGAGGTCGGGAGCGAGACGTCTCGGAGATTGGTAGCCCAGGGGGCAACGAGGAAGGGCTTTGGTGTCACCTGTGCGAGTCGCTTCAAACCTGGAGGGTTTTTTGATGTTTTTTGCAAAGGCCGAACGGGACCATTGTTGGCTTGCGAATGCAGCCAGCCAAAATGGCCATCAAGAGCCAAATGAGTTAAGACAACAACATGGAACAACAAGAAAATACATGAGGGTGCCGGCCTTGTTCTCATCGTCGCAGGCGGTCGATGATGACCGGTTGGATGATGGCGATGACCTTCAAGCTTCTTTCCTTGCACTTGCTAGTAGTGATGCAGTTGCTACTCTTGTAGTAGCGATGCACTTGTTACTAGTAGCGATGCAGTTGTTACTAGGGTGGGGGGAGCGGGCTTTCAACAAAATGTTGAGTTTCTCATTGACTCTGAAGAGTCGGGCAGTCCATTCTGAGGAGCAACTGCCCTGTGAAGGCTGGAGTCGGAGTCGGGTGAGAGCGGTCGGCGGTGAGAGCTTGAGACGATCGCGGCTTGTAATTTCGTTTGTGTTCGGACTGCCCAGATTCTGCAATCCACGGGCTGTATGTTACAATACAGTTTCACATAGTAGCAGTCAGTATGAGCATGTGAGTCAGTAGCGTTTGCGCAGTCCGGGCCAGGATTTCTGCTATCACACGAGCTGCTTGGGCAGATGTGCGCAGCCTGAGAGTTTTGACATCAGCAAGTTTTTTTTTTGGGGGGGGAAACGGAAGCATGTCAGTAAGCAAAGAACAGCAAAGCTGGGCATATTTGGAACATCTTTCGGCCAAGGGTGATCTCTGAAGTGGCTGTTGGGGGTGGCCATTGCATCCTGGTCTCCGATTGTGGGCGAGCTTTTGGATATGGCTGCAACGCCAGGCCAGGCAATTGGCTGGGCATTTTTCTGTACGGGGTCTTGGCCAGATCTGTTTGGGGGACAGCCTAGACGTATAATATATTTATATCATTTTTTGATTAGGAGGCCATCGCTAGTAGGTTGGAGGCCATCGCTACTAGGGTGGAGGCCATCGCTATCAGGTAGAGAGATATTTGTTCTTTTGATTTACAATTGGCTTAATACTTAAGATGGTATATTTTTTGAGCTCTCAGCTGCCAGGGGTCAACTTGGCCTTGGCTGCGAGGACAGTCCGCGATCGATGTCAGTTAGATTATACTAGTGTTCTCGATGTCAACATGATTCGATCAGAATATGGCGTATGTCCTCTCATGTTTGCTGTATTTGCAACTTGGAGCATTGGAGAACATTGATTTCCAGCATCATTCTATCACTACAGCATCCACATGCCAAATGTGTCCAGCTCCCCACATTCACATTTCATTGAATTGGCCTATGTCATCCTGCTCCATTTTTCGGGAGTCTGTGCAGCATGGTAGACTCAGGTTGGAGCCTGGGAGTAACGTGAACCATCGTGAAACCGCAGAACTGCGATGAAAGCGACCGCTTCTTCGGTCGCTCGGGCGCTCGCGCGTTTCAGGTAGGATCTCCCGGAAGGTCCTCACTCAGTGAGCTGCCGGAGCTGAGACCCTTTGGGCAAGAAGGCGCCAGCAAGTCGATACCGTGCGTCTACGGAGAGTCGATGTGGTAATTTCCAACTGACCACGCAACGCCACCCCTTCCACCCACCCAAACGGACGAACAACAAACAGCCGACCAACAAAAAACACCAAGCATGCCAAACGGCCATCATTTTTCTATGCCAGAACAGCTGGATCACAACGCTAGCTAAAACATGCTCCGCCGGCGGACCCCAAAAACGAGGACCAAAAACGCTGTAGAGTCCGGGGTCGCCACAGTAGGCCTCCCCAGTACGACAGGGAAGTAAACGTGCACATGATTGATCGGCAGATCTGGCTTGCCCAGGTACTGATTGCGTCCAAATGACATGACCACAGTCTGCATTAGAAGAAATGCTTGGGAGAGTTTATATATTATATATGTCAGGTTAGTGTGTTTGGATACACCGTGTAGTTTTTTTCCCCCGAATGCGTAGCGAAGGGTTCTCGTTTAACTCTGGGGGTCTGGGGGTAGAGCCTTGTTCGCGACTCGTTGTCTGAGCGACCGCAGCCGTTGTCAACCGTCCGCAGCCGTTCTCACATTGGGGGAAGCTTTTGGAGAGGGTTTTGGATGGAATCGCGACGTCTCAGATTCGTGCGCAATAGCGGGGAAACGTCTGGAAGCGTGAGATGTTGAAGTGCGGAGGATGATTTCACTGCACAGGGGCAGCGTTTTGTGAGATGGTAGTTTTTTTGCGCAGTCACTTTGGGATTGGGGCTTGAGGGTGGTGTGCTTGGGGTTTTGGGTGTGGCTGTGACGTTGGGGCTTGCATTTCAGGCTGTTTTCGTGACAAGTCTCAGCTGAAGTGGCGATGTGTTCCGAACGTGTCGAAATCACTCCAAACGTGTGGTGTGGTGGAAAACTGGCTGAAGCTAATGACATGATATTCGCGGTACTTTGTGGTGTTGGAGGTGTGGACGTTCAAATTTTCGTTGCAGGCGCAGGAAGTCGTGAGGTTGCGAGTTGTGGTGGAGGTGAATGTCGCTGTGACATTGGGATTGGTGTGTGAGCGGGTGTTGTTTGGAGGGGCTGGAGTCACGAAACTGCTTGGCAGGGCTTGATGTGTGTGCTCCGATGGGGTTTCCCACTTGACTTTTGGAGGAAGTCTCATACGAAACGCTAGTTTGGAGACGTGATGGTTCACTTGTTGAGACTTCGGTAGTAGTCAAGAGTGCCCTACAGAGTCCAACAAGAGGGTCATACAAGAGTGTCCCACAAGAGTGACATACAAGTGTGTGCCACAAGAGCGTCTCCCGCAAGAGTGTGCCACAAGAATTGTCCGACAAGAGTGTCCTGCAAGAGTGCCGTCCCACAAGAGAGTGTCAAAGTTTGTTTGGGCGCTTGTTTTGGAGTACGTGTTTGCATGTGGGTTCGTGGGTTCCATTTTGTGTTTTTTCCATACCTTTACTTTTTTCTTTAAACTGAGTACTGGTATATAATTGTATTGTGACAGGATGAGGTGAACAACTTAAAATTTATGGAACACACATTACGAGCTCTGCAAAAGGTGACCCACCATTCATTGTGGTTGCAGGCGCCATCGTCAATGCAGCGTGTGGGAGTCCCCTGGTTGCGATTCTTTGGCGGGTCCTGCGCTGGTGGATGAAGGCAGCGTTGGTGGGTCCTGCATTTGGCCTGGTGGTTCGAGGTGCAGTAAGGAGAGCATCAACACTTGCAATTCTACTTTCCGCATTGAAGCTAGAAGTTGCGATTGTGATGTCCACAAATGCACCTGAAACAAAAAATGTGTCGGCTCAGAAGTGAAGACATGTGATTTATGCGCGTGATCATTCACGCGATCGTATACTGTATATATATATATATGCATGTGTCTAGACTGAGGTGAACACACCTTGCTTTTGGTTCGTCCCTTGTCGGGCAGCACGCCCCGACAGGCAGGAGACGCAGGTCATGCATGCATAGCTATGCATAGCTACCCTGCTGAATGCTTGACTCGTGTGAACAAGATATGTCCATAAGAGGCGTATCCTTAAGCAAACTCCGATCTACTGTAACCTGCCTTCTTCCTCCGATGATCTTGCAAGTGCCTTCATTTCGGCCGCCTGTTGGTGTGTTCCTGGCTCTCAGCTTCTCATGTGGCATATGTGCCATAAAATGCATGTTTGAACATGTTCATGTTTCCAACTTTCAATCGTTCGTGTTGCATCTCAAGGCCCTCGTAACAGCCAAACCGAAGGGCTCGATGGGCGGGTGTCCCGCTCGTTTCATGCCGAAATCAGAGGGCAGCAAGCCAGCTGCAGCTGAGCCTCTTCCCTACGTGTCACCAGATTCGTTGCGAGGGCGAGACCAGGCTATATTTGAATTTGCGAGTGCTCTAAAACCTCAATAATTAAGCATAAATGATGTTTGAACCAGACACATTCAGTATCATTCAGTCAATGGGCTTGGTTCTTTGAGCAGTTGTCCTTTGACGCTCAGTTGCAAACGGCTTTCTTCCGCTCTGCTTTCTTCCGCCAGGTCTTATATCGATTTCTCAGGGGTGAGGACCGTGATGATGTTCAAGGTTAGGTGGTCGGAATCTTTTCACAACCGACAGAGACAGACAGTTCCATAAGGCACTTGCACATGCTTAGTGTACAAACATGCCGTTGCAGACAGTGTATCACATTAACTTTCGTTGGGGGTGGTCAAAGCCAGGTGATACCTGATATGGGTTTGACAGTGGTCTTGTACACACTGTTGTTGTGAAAGGGCTGCAGGTTGGTGACTTGGTACACACCCATTTGCGGCCGAATCGGCCACTTCGGCTTCGCCTGTGCAGCTCTTGGTGTTGCAGGTCGGACCTTGGACGAGATTCTGCTTTGGAGAGACGATCAATTGGAGGCACGTGCCCACATCAACACCGTTTCAAATCCGCTTCGTGTGCACTTGCCATTTTGAAGCTGTGTACCCGCAGGATCCGTAGGGGAAGGATGATGTTATTCACAGCCCCATGGTCGTGGCTGCGAGGCCGTGCATGACTACGTCCAGTGGATTTTTCCAACAGATGAAGCATCCATGTTCAACAGCCAAGCACCCCTACTTTCGCCTCAACTGCAAGCAGTTTGCCACCAAGATGAGAAAATAAAGGAGAACTTCGAAGCTGGGCTGGACTGATTTCAGTAGAAGTCGTAGGAGGGAGCAGGAAGAGTAGGGGCAGAAGTGGTAGTAGTCGCCGCCGTAGTAGTAGTGTTCTTGTGCATTAATTGATTCAACTACTGCTCCTATGTGCACACTTCCGTGCTGATGCGGCAGTCCAAATATATATAATATGCATTATATAATATGTTAATATGTTATTAGGATGCAGGCATCGGAGGCCATCTCCATAGTATGTATAATTGTGCCGACGCGTTGGACGTTGGGCAAACGGTCCGATTCGCAAGGATCGCATTTTGATGCGATTCCTCTCCTTCTTGGGCTTGCAAATGGAGACGATTGAGGGCAAACAGATTAAGATTTCGAAAGCCGAACACTTTGAGACCAGAAGCTCGGCTGCAGGGAAGACCTGAACACGACCACCTCAGCAGGGTTGGCATGATATGGCATGATGTGTGAAGTCAGAACAAAACTGCACGTGAGGCGTTCTTTTGATTTGGCACTGTGCACAGGGGGATCATGTTTTGTTTGACCAAGGACGACGTGATTGCTGGTCTGCAGTCTTCGGAATGAACCACAACTGGCTGAGGATCTCACGGGTCTTACATTGTCTTGGAATGGTGGGAAAGAAGGACTGGCCCAGGGGTTGTCCAGGGATGTCCTCCTTTGAGCTCATGATAGATCGATGGGCCGGCCATGGTGTTCTCCACAACACTCCAAATGATTGCCAGGGAGGCACTTTTTTGGTTGGTTGTTCTTTGCTGTTAATCATTGTTTTTCTTTGCCAAATTCTAGCCTGCCTTTTGATTGAGATGCTCATGTCTGAGGCATGTAAGCATTTTTGCATTTCAGTGTGATGCTTATATTTCACTGTTGAAAGCCTGCTTTCTAGCGTGTCTAGATTGGTCCTTTGGGGGATATTGGGAGATGCTCAAAGGCTGACAGATCTCACAGCAGAGGAAGAACAGCGTGCCTTGATGGAATTCCTGGAGACCATGCCAAAAGACATTCCGGAAGTCAGGAGCTCCATTCCTCACTGGCGCGGACGAGCACAAGCTAGCTAATCGACTTTTCCTCCATCAGCTCTGCTGAAATTACAAGCTCTCACTGGGTGTTTTTTGCACTATGCCTTATGTACAGTACAGAATGCAAGCCTTCTCAGCCCAAGGCGGAAGGCTCAAGCAGCGGTAGACATCGAGAGCATGTGAGAAAACAATCAGATCCACTGTCTTGCTTGCGAGACAGGCAGCCCAAACAGCATCAGGGTAGAGCACTGGCAAGGTCAGCAACAGCTGTAATCCTTGGACGAACCCAAGGACTCGTGCATCAACTCGTGCACCGGCAGGTCTTTGTTTGTGGAGCTTGGGAGGCCCTTGGACTGCCAAATTGTTCAGAGGACCCAGAGTCCCCAAAGCAGATCCCGCCACTCGGCCAAAATTGGAAGGAACTAGTCCGTGTTGTTGCCTAGGAACGTAGCAGAAGCGTTCACCATGTTCGATTCATTTGCGAGAAGGCTCAAGCCTCAAGGGTTCGTGCCCACATGCAAAATGCTGATGATGCAAGCAGCAACTACAACAAGCGACTTTTGGCGGTGGCAACTGGAAGCTGTCTACCGAAAGAGGAATCCTTACAAGCTGCATCGAGTGCCAGCATTGCTTGAGAGACACAAGGGCCCCTTGGTCGCAGACTCTTCCTGACTGACCCTGAAAATTGTGCCCGCATTATTCACAGGGTTTGTCTATAGTATAATATATAATAAGGATGTAGACTCAGACTCAGAATCACCCGTGTTCTGCTTTTTTTGCACTGAGCAACAGTTCACCTGTTTTTGTTGGACTTTCTCCCAGAGTTTGGCAACAACAGGGTCCACATTGTCCCAGCTGTTCTCAAACCGCAGACAGAAACCAACATGCACTAGACTGTCATTGGGGAGAAGTGTTCTGACTATATCAACTTGTCTTCCCATGAGAAGCTAAGGTGAAGAAGCGCTTCTTTACAGAAAGGTGTGCTTGACCTACGATTTAGACCCCACACAGTTCTATACTTATGCGAAATGGCCGGAAGATGTCCAACCCAGCGAGCAGCGCCCTGGGCTGGTGAACCGCTTGCTGTCCTTGTTGGGCCTTACCAAGACTGAAGCAGACAACGCTGAGCCATCGGCACCGGCGCCTTCCTCGCCTTCGACCTGGCGACCCTTTTCGTTTTGCTACCAACCAGGCGCCGACTTGCCAGTTTGCCAAGCTGCAGGCCACCAGGAGGTGGTGCACCAACAAAGATGTGCGGGCATTTCTCCCTTTGCACGAAACATAGCGCAGACGGCTCGAGGCTTTAAGAACTGGAAGCCAGTGATGCCCGCTGAAGAGATAGACTTTGAAGGTGAGGGCCAGTCTCAGCTCGGTGGTGAGCTTGATGAACCGTCCCGAAGGCCTTTGCAACAGAGATGTCCAACTCGTCCAACTCAAAGCTTTGAGAATGCCCAGCCTCCCATGGTGCGTGGACGTCCTTTGCCTGGGGCCAAGAGAGTCCTGCCCTTGGAGGGTGCTTCAGCGGCCGGCGGCCTTGTGGATGCGAAGCGGAGGACGTGGAAATCCAGGTTCCTTCTTTTCCCATCTTTTCCCTAGTAGCGTTCTTGCTCCTATTAGCGACGCCAGGAGCCCCTAGTAGCGTCCTTTGTTCCTAGTAGTAAGGCCAGGAGCCCCTAGTAGCGTCCTTGCTCCTAGTAGCGATGCCAGGAGCCCCTAACAGCTTCTTTTCCCTAGTAGTAAGGCCAGGAGCCCCGTTCGTAGCATCCTTGCTCCTAGTAGTACGGCCAGGAGCCCCCCTCACATCCAGAACTTTCAATGACTCATTTTACTCGACCATCCATTACCATGGCGGTAAAATGAGTCATTTGGACTTTCAGGGGGCGTCCTGTTTTCATTCGTTTGACAGGTTTCCGACGGACCACAAATAGCCGCTAGTTACTAGCCACGAGACATATTAAAAATGCACCCCACCTTCCCGACTGCTTCCAGGAAGCTTTCTTCAGCTTGAGCTCTTGCTGAGTCGATTCATCAGTTTATCCGAATGTTAACATCCGTACGATCTGCGAGGTTTGCTTGCACCTGCACAAGGCGGTTGCATTCGCAACTCCTTAGCGTTGAATTCAGAATTGAGATGCATTGAGTGTGTCATGATTTGTGCTGTTGGAGTCACCTGTGCTCCGCAGAAATGTTTGTCATTTGAAGGTCGCTGGACCTGCATGCAAAACAGCACGCCATGAAACAGTCCGCCATGTGCTTAGGATTGTTCAACAGCTGTACGACGGGCACAGAAACGATAACATTTGCAGATGACTACCAACTAGAGTGAAAAGCGAATCAGACTCGACTGGTCAACTGCTCCAGGAAATCTCGCTTAGCATTGTTGGAAGGTGCTGGCTTTAGGACATGCAAGCGTGTTTGAATTCCACAGGTAGGCACACCCGTGGCCATTTCTGCTGAGGTACTGGGACAGTAGGAGGTTCGACGACAACTTTTGGTTGCCCTTGTTGGCACCGATGATGGTAGGGAGGTTCGTGGACTGCGTTTGATTCGACCGCATGATCCGCGCAATTTTTAGCTCGCAATCTTCTAGCTGGAACCTGGTCGAGCGCGTGGTTTTTCCGGCACCACCACCATCATACACTATTCACAGCTTCCCTGGCGAGCTGATCTTAATTCCTCGTGAGGGAGGAGCCAACGTGCCCTGCCTTTTCCTTCCATTTCAGCATGCACGCTTCTTGATGATGTTCTTTCATGCCAACGCAGAGGACCTGGGACTAATCTACAACTTCTGCACTATTCTGAAAGACCTATTTCAAGTGAACGTGCTAGCCGTTGAATATCCAGGCTATGGGATTTGTCCTGGTGCCTCAACGGAGGAAGGGATCATGGCAAATGCAGAGGCAGCCATGGACTTTGCCATCGAAACCTTGGGTGTGGCTCAAAACGACATCCTTCTTTTTGGCAGATCTTTGGGCACAGGTCCAACAGTAGCGCTGGCTTCGCGGTACCACCAGATTGCTGGAGTTGTTCTGGTGAGCCCTTTCACCAGCATTAAGGAGTTGTTTCAGAGGCGAGTTGGGAGGATTGCAGAGTTTCTGGAAGATCGCTTTGCAAACCTTACACTTGCATCGAAAATTTCAAGCCCAACATTGATCATTCATGGCTTGCAAGATGTCTTGGTCCCACCTGAGCATGGTCGCAAGATTTATGCCTCTATTCAGACCAAACGAATGCTGGTGACACCAGTGAGTATGACACACAACTCCTCGTTGTTGCGAGATGTGGCCAGTTTCGTCATGCCAATGACTTCGTTTTTTGCTTTGCCAGACTACGCTTTTGAAAATGTCCGGGTGCCCGACTGGGCATACCCGCCCAAAGATTTGCCACCGGGTTCCTTGATGGATCGAAAGGATGGAACTGCACTTTGGAACTGCTCGAGGTGTTGCAATCGGCTGGGAGGTAGTGATGAAGCAGTAGTTGAGCCAATCAGCAGACTAAAAACCGATGATCTCAATGAACCAGTGAGTTTAGAGTCGGCTGGAGTTCGCTTTGACTCAGCTTCTGACGTAAGCGCTTCCATGGGTTTTGGCAGCCCACCCAGCGATTTGTTGTCGACTTGAGCCGCTCAGTGAGCAGTTGAGCGAAGCGGTCGTGGGGCCGGTTGATTGTTTCACCCAAAGTGGGCCTTGTGAAGACCACATAATAGTGAATGCAAGTGAATGTCTCTCACAGCAAATGCTGTAGAGGCTGACCAGGAGGGACGACATGCAAATAGAGAAACATAGAGAAACCTATTTTTTGCTGAATTTGCTGTGCTATTTGTTAAAGTTTGAATTTATGATTTATGATTTGTTGGTTGGCCTTGGTGAACTGCATTGCTGCTAAGTTTGGATGCTCAGTATGACCCTGTCCAGTTCAAGACTCCTGTGCAGAGCAGCATTGATCAGCATAAAATAGCTAGCATAATTGCTCATTGCACCTTCCGGTGGCTGGGTAGTAAACTGCAGAGATAGAGCCAATTGTGAAGCTTTAGAGGTACACCGCAACGTAGTTTGTCAGTGTATAGTCCAGCTAGAGAGGCAGACAGCGAAACAATTGTTTTCAGGCAGCATTTTGCGGGACGAACGTGCAATTGCAGCGGAGAGACTCGGGCGATTGCGGCCCTCGGCCTGGTGGCAAAGTGGTCGTCGGACAGCTGGACCCATGCCACAGATGTGCAAATTCTTTGCGCAGGGCAGGTGTGCCTTTGGCAACGCCTGCAATATGTGGCACGGTGAGACAAATGGGACCAAGAGTGGGACGAATGGAAATGGCTACAAGACAAGCGAGAGTGCTGGCATGTCGAATGGCAACACGAATGGGTCCAATGTCAATGTTTGCAAGCACTTCCTTCAGGGGCGATGTGCCTTTGGCGACAGCTGTCGGAATTCTCACGAAGTCCCATCATCTGAAGTGAGGCCATCGCGGTCCATCCCTGGACCAAGTCCTGGGCCGATAGGACCGAGTCCAGGGCTCAAAGGACCGAGTCCAGGGCCCATAGGACCGAGTCCAGGGCCCATAGGACCGAGTCCAGGGCCCATAGGACCGAGTCCCGGTCCTTACGCAGGGCCACTCGGGGCAGGGCCACCCATCAGGCCACCAATGAGCTCCGTGGGAGTCCCCATGGGCTATGAGGAGGACCTCAACGTCGATCCCTTGAGTTCAGGATCGGCACGACCCATAGGCCCAATAGGCCCCATGCCCCCCAACGGCCGGGAGCGCAGGCTGGAGCCAATAGGTCCAGCTGTGGGGCCTTTGGGGCCAAGCAACGGATCCAACGGTTCCTTGAGTTCTTGTCCAGAGCCACGACCTGTGCGGCGCCGTGACTTTGAGCAGGATCCCGAATTCAGTGAGTGTGGCATTTGCTTTGAGAATGTGAAACGAAGAGGGGAACGTTTTGGAATGTTAGAGAGCTGCGACCACGCATTTTGTTTGAGCTGCATTCGTGGTTGGCGACGAGAGCGTGAGCAGGACAAGCAGAATCTGAGGCTTTGCCCTGTGTGCCGCAAAGAGTCTTTCTATGTCATTCCGAGCGATGCAATCATCCTCGATCCGGCAGAGAAACGACAAATCATTGACCAGTACAAACAGGAAATGGGGCGGATTCCATGCAAACTTTTTGACTACGGCCGTGGCTCATGTCAATTTGGCAACAGCTGCTTCTATGCCCACCTAAACCCTGATGGCACTCGCTACATCCCACCTCCACTGAAGTGGATGCGGGGTGCGGAGGGTAGCGAAGTGAAATCCGAAGTGAAGCTCTCTGACTTTTTTGACTGAAGTTCTTTTTTGGGAGTTTCTGATCTTCAGTCACTCTAGCTAGACATTCTGAGGACTACACTGAGTCGTCTTGACTAGTCAAGGACTTGGAGCTGACAGCACCTGCGCCCGAAAAGTGCCGCCATGCATTCCGAGCACGTTCAGCTTGTCACAGAGATTCCTCGCGGGTCTCGTGTCTCGGCCCGCGCTCTCGTCGTCTCGGGTCTCGGCAGACGAGTGAGGCTCCGACATGATGTGACAGCGATTGCAGCTCGGGCAGGTGCCAGCTGCTGCACTGCCAGTGAAGGGGAGTCGGAGACACATGGCTCAAATGGCAGTTTTGGAGAGCTTTTCTTCGATGCGGGCTAGGCTATACAAGATCTAAGCCGCTATAGAAGCATTTGCAAAAAGAACATGAATTGGCCAAATCTAATGGTCCAAATGTGACCTGCTTGGTCAATGCCTAAAGGTTTAAGGGTTGAAGGGGTTCAGGAATTTACGGGTTTAAGACGTTAAACATGATGCCATTGAAACCGTCCCCGTAGACAATTTGCCCCCAGGGGAAAGGACATGCATTGTGCAAAGAACAGCGGTGCAGACTGAGCAATGCGCCGTGCTTGCTTCATGTTGGGACCGGCGTGGCTAAGACTTTGGAAATTCGTTCGCACCTTGCGAACTGAGGATGTGCAGACACCTGCTGTATCTTTGGGGCGAAGTTGATTTTTGTCCTTGCCCAGCAACTTGGACTTTGGTGAGCACTGTGACTGTTATTTTTGATTTTTTTGCACATCATCCGCCGTTCACCTAAATGGACCTGCATGGTGGAATAAAGGGAGCGCGGGGCATCGGTTTGACCACATTTTGCCCCCTTTGTTTTGGAAGCCCTCCCAAAGACCGCCCCGCGCTTTATATATCAAGGCCATCCAAAGCCGCTAAGAATATGGTTCCTCTACTGTGTCACTATGTTAGTTATTCATTGCTCTCCAGTGTGGACCACCCATACCGCCACTCACTCATGAAATCTCACAAAAGGGGTGCTGACTGTTGACTGGTATCACAGCATTGCAGAAAGGATTTGGCTCAGCATGGACGTCTCTGAATAGTACCCGTGACAGACATAGTTGGTATGCTCAGAGTGGCTTGTGGCTTGCCTGTGAAACTTAAGAGCTTAGAGGAAAAGGTCTTGGTTGCAAACAAGTGTTCAGAACACCGGTCAAATAGTTCATGTGTAATTTATGAGTGTTTATGTTTCTACAATCATGATAATCATCTTAAAATGTACTTAGTGTTCTCCATTTTTTTCTTTGTCCGTTTTTTCTTCCTTCGCCACTTTTCAGGATCTGCTGGAGCGCCCCACGCCGTGCTTCCGTTTGCCCCGCATGGCAAAGAAGCTTTGTTTGGGTGGATCCTTTGGACTCGTGCTGGACGTGGCCGGAGAGGTCTTCGTGGCCCGGCAGGGACGTGGGTGGGTTGAACTGGGAGGCCGTGGGAGGCGCTACAATAACTTTTGCTGTGATTGGTTTGCGGCATGCGATTGGGTTGTTTCATTCTGGTTTGATGACATGAGACCAAAAGGAATTCAAACGGGCCGAAATGAGCCTGCCAGGCTCATCCAGGCTCCAGTTCTTTTCAATTCAGCACGCGTCAAGGACCGATGAAGGGAGGAATGGAATCTAAGGCCTGGGGTGATGACACCTATGGAGAGCTTGGAGGTGTGTGGCACTTAGAATCTTTTCACCAGTCAGACGATACCTTCGCTTGTTCAACGGTGGCTGCGGGAAAAACAGATGCAGGGGTCTTAAGCCTTAAGACAATGAGTGAGAAGCAAAAGTTGACTTAAGGCCACGATGGACTTTGGTGGGTGGCCACTGGCCAACCGGAGCTTCACAGACCCGCAAACACTCCCAGGCATCACTTGCCGTTCAGACATGCGTTGATTTGCTTGATGTATCTTGATGTACTGGAGCTTATTTAAAATTTAGACATAATTAGACCCTTCATGACCCTTCATACTTTGTTGGTTTGACCTTCCAGGCATGGAGCTTTGTTAGATGAATGAATGACACCCGTTGGCCAACCGGGTCTCTCGTTTGCTGTTTCTTCGCCTGGAACGCGCATTGTTTGTGCCTCGAAGCCGCTCAGTGCCTGGAAAAATCACTCTTCCTCGACACGCCCAGGCGAGGGCCGTCACAACGATGTGCGCCGAACGCGGCGCTCATTGAATGGGTGTAGTAAGCGTTTCTTTGTGCCACCACTAAGACACATTCTCTTGGGTTGACCAAGAGAGTGGGCTGCCGGACATGGTCGACTTACAGTGTGGGGGGTTCCCATTTCTCAATTGTTGCAAACTGTTGCAACTACACCATGACCCCCTAGTACGTCCTTGCTCCTAGTAGCGATGCCGCTCCTAGTAGCCTCCATGACCGCAAATCTAAGACACCAGTCCATCCGCCCTACGGCCCTACGCCGCCTTTATACTCGGTCGAGATCGCTCTTGGCTCGTCAGCCTTCATCAGCTGGGGTGTCAGGAGAAGGATGCGTCGGACACCTCAAAGGAGCGATGACCCGCTTTATCATGCTTTATCGAGTTTAAACATGTGACTTTAACGTGAGTTTCGGATGAGCAAAAGCTGCATTCAAAGTTCTTAGCTGCACTGTTCTCCTTTCGATTCATATCAATTTGATCTAGACTGAGTGTTGGATTTGACCAGGCTCTCGGTCCCCCAGAGTGATGCGTATACTGTAGCGGCTAGCCTCCGGAGCAGGCGGCCTATCAAACAGGTCCCCATCAGAAAGGTGGATGCTGGACTGGACTGAATTTATCCTCTCGGTGCAATTTGAAAGGCAGACTTGATGTGGAGAGGAGTTCATCGGCTGTTTGCTATTACATTTAAATTAGGTTGGAGGCCATCGCTATTAGGTTGAAGGCCATCGCTTGCATTGGGAGGAGTTCATCGACATTGCGTGTGGAGAGCGACACTCGCTTTTGTTGGATGCTCTTGGGCACCTCTATGCCTTTGGGGAGAATTTGGCCGGGCAGTCACTTGTCAGGATCAATCAGGCAGGAGGCACTCCTACAGCTCAATTTAGCACGTTTCGATGTGGTAGCTGCATGCCATGAAAATCATGGAAGATAATTACATATATAATATCATATAATTACAGTAGTGCAAAAGATCAGCGGCCTTCAATGTTTTTTGTTCAAAAAGCCACGGTGTTTGCAGCACCTTGCAGCACTTGTTGTCGCTGGTACTTTCATCCCAAGTCGTTTGCTCGGCTATTTTGCAGGGCTCTATAGACTCAGGCCTTTCATTTGATGAAACGACCTTTTCTTAGGTGCGGAGTCGTGGAACCAGTGGGATCTGGGCACATCAATGGTTGCACCGTGCCACGGCCAAGACCTGTTCCCATCGAGGCTGTCACACAAAGAACAAGTTCTTGTGCAAACATTGCAGTAATTGCAATATATACTGCATTTATAAGTATATATTATATATAATTACTTGCCTCCTCACCTGCGGTGATCCACCTCCGGTCAATATTGCCTCACGTTCGCAACACCATCAGTGGCAATTGCAACATCACTTGTGCCTTAGCCTGCTGCGACTTCCATGTCCCATTGCAGGCGGCATCTCCATCAGACGAGGGCCCAAGCATGGAACGTTGCTCACCCAGGAAGGTCTCCTCTTTGTCATTTGCATTTTGCCATCACGGAGCGATCTGAGTCCAAGTGCTCATCTGAGGCGGAGCGAAGATTTTTGCCGGCAAGTGGCACTCTGCTTTGACGCTCGATCGATGTTGGTCTCTCTCTCTCTCTCTCTCTGTCCCTCTCTCTCTCTATGATCTCTATGATGGAAGTGTGCAAATTGTAGCCTGGAGTGTCGGAGTGTGGTGAAGATCCAGGAGACAAAGATTGAAGATAGACTCACACTGTTCAAACGTTGTTGATCGAAGTAGCACAGGACGCGCAGGCTGACTGAAATCCATGGCACAAGTGCTTTTGTCAGATTTTGCTCTTGCAGCCCATTGGGCCGGTTCCTCTCCATGAGCGTTTTGTTGTTCGCTCAGGGTCACGGTCGATCACCGGCTTTGGATTTGGGGCCATCCGAGCAATCGAAAGCTTGGGCATGTTGGCTTCAACCATGATGGCACAGAGGCGCGAACTGAAGCGCCGTGAACTCGCGGCGATCGTGATGACAGGGTCAAGGCGGATAACGCCAAACCTGGACATGGCAAGTAAAGGACGCGTGCACCGAGCCGCCGAGCATCGCACAGTGTACAGCATGAGAAAAAAGCATGAACAAAGCATTGGGTCTTTGCTGAATTGCCTTGTGGTACTCCAATGGGTGTGCTTTCATCAGATGGCCCATGGATTCTGAGACTTTGCTGGCCTGCCCTTAGACCTTTCAGGCACACAAAAATATACTTGCGAATGGGTCCTACATCATATATATATATATATAGAGATTCTCAGGTTTTTTTGGAGCTAGTAGACTCGGGCAGCTTCAGAGGCTGGAGAGGATCCCGGCATTGGCGCGAAGAAAAGCAAGGCCGGGTCCAGGTTGTCGCTTCTGTCGGGAATCAGCTCGAGCGGAAAGATTCAGAACATGTTTCAAGACGTTGGAGCCATGTGGAGCCCCTCAGCCCCTCCCTCCCCTATCGCCACAGTTCCAAAATATTCCACAACTGAGTTGTTTAGTGCCGCCGAGGTGCTCCCATGTTCCTTCACTCGCACAGTTTTGTGCCGTGTTCAGGATTTGAGCCTACTAAACGGCTTGAGTGCCCAAATGCACCACTAACCACAAGAAGAGAAGGATGGAGTGAGATGGAGTGATATTTATCGGCTGGCTTTATAGGTTTGGGTTCCTGTCTCAAGATCGCCTGTTGACTGTGCCAGGCCCGGCCGCCAGGTGTTGCGGTGCGCAGCGCATTGCGAGATGCTGTGCGGCGTCCGCACATGGTCTTCGCGCTCTTGCACCGGCGCGTGAGGCCGCTGAGGGTTTTGAAGCTGATTTGACGTGGCTCGTGTGGAGGACTAGTGACTGGTGAACTCAGTTATAGTTTTGGGGATTAGAAGTTAGAAGCATTTAGGGAGTCATTTAGGGATGTTACATCTTGACGTTGGAGCTACGGGTGTGAACATGTTGGAGCCTTCTAAGATGGTTTTACACGTAAAGACACGGCTGTGTGGGGTCGTGTTGCCTTCCTTCAGACTTTGTTGGACACTGAACACTTCAACACATTCTTTCTTGAATTTGTAGGCTCAGCTGGACCTGATGCCGGATTTCCTTTTGGCCGCCCAACAGAATCACAAGACTCAAAACAAAAACAGGGCGCCCTGCAAGTTCGACCACTCGGTCCGATCGAGCCAGTGTGGTTGGTCCGTCCATGGAGGACACTCGGTCTTGGAGATGAATGCACGGTCATCGTGCACGGGGATGGCAAAAGCCTCGAAGAGGAGCCAGCTCCGTATGGAGCCAGTCTGGAGGCGGCCTCGGCAGGGACCGGCTCTGAGATTCTAAAGACCCAAGATGACCCAAGTACTACAGGGTGTATTGAGTCTTGACATGTCTTGACAATGGAAGGACCATACCCGGGACCCAACGCATTTTGGGCGTGATAAGGTCCAGAGATGTCCAGAGTCTCAAGAATGCTAATTCAATTGGAAGCTTACTGTAACAAGATGGCAAGCAAACAGGGCTATGGCACGCAAGCAATCACAACTAGAAACATCTAATACTACGCATACCTCATGTTGCCCAATAGGTGGGCTCCACAAGAGCAAACATTTCAATCAGCAAACCTGGAGTTTTGAAGAGTTGTACAAATTATATCTGTTGTGCGTACATCGGTCTATTTTGATTGCGTTTGCTTGCTATGACCCATCAACTCTTCAGCACCGAACTTTGGGGACAAAATGGTCTCGACGATTCAGAAACTAAGGCCGAAGGCCCGATTCAGAAACTCACCCGATTCACAAACTACAGGGTGTCCCGAATCAGAAACTACAGGTTCTCTGGGTGGAGTGGGGTGGGGTGGGTAGTGTTGACGTTCCTTCGAGCCCGTCGTGTCCCTAGTTTAGGAATCCATGGCCGAATCCGCCGTTGACCGTTGCAATATGTTGCAATCATATACGCTCCAACGGGTCTTCTCTTTGAGCAAAAGCTGCACACCCTGTCACAGACACGATCAGTCTTGGTGTCAATCACACTTACACTTGTTACTATATAAGTACTTATAATACATACATCTATATACCTCTATGCCTTTATTCCTATGGAAGTGGTGGATGCCCCCCCTTGGAGGACGCTTTGTCCTTTGCAAATGACGGGATTTTGTTCAGTTCCATTCTGGTAACACTTCTTTGAACGCAAACCATTGTCGTTTGATTTCCTTCTTCACTCGGCTTGGAGGGCCTGATCTGAAGTGTGGAGTAGTATGGTTTCCGTTTTTTGCCGTTTGCTGCCTTTCACATTTGGTAAAGGCCTGCCCAAGGAAATCTGGTAGACGACCAAGCAGCCCAAGCATGGGGGACTGTGTGGCTGCCATGATGCCAATCTCGCGAGGTGTCGTCACCTGTGGGATTTACTACACCAACCAACGTAGACGCGAGTTCAGACCTGGAGGCCAGGAATGCAGGAAAAGTCAGGGTCACCAACTGAAATGAGTCCTGTTCAGCGTGCTACGTGGCATCGCCGTTGCAGACACAGACGAGTTTGACTAGTGAAGGAGACTTGTCACTGACATGCTTTAACTTAACCTTCAGCCTCAACTCATATTTAGAGGTCGCACCCAAATAGGTGATTAGCCCTTTGAGAGGTCTATCAAGATTGCACTTTGCCAGTTTACATGGATAGCCACTGCCAGGCAGCCCTGCCACATCACAAGGCACACGAATTCACGCTTTTGGTTGTCATGCTCATCAATGAATTATCCATAAATTCCATGGCAAAGATTGACTCATATTAATCGCCTCAGAGTTAGGACGGTAATTGCCCAGGTGATTAGGCCTTGATTTCTCCTGTGAGCGTTCATGGCCTCAAATTAGCACCTGGCTGAACCATTGCGGAGGCCCCGAGACCTTCTCTGGTAGAAGCAGACTCATCCAAGGACTCCCGGAACACATGGCCTGAGCAGTGAAAGTGGTTTTGGGATACATGCAAGAGAGTACATACATCCTGTATAGCTTGTGATGTGTACATGTACGTGAGCCCCTTTTAGGCTGAAAAGTGCGCGCTACCCGCCCGCATGGTAGCGGAGCAGGGTGAGCTCCTGCTCCGGGTCCCCTGTTAGACAGGGTAAGACCCGCGCGTGGGCGCCTGCGTGGTGGACACCCCGTAAATCCGCAGAGCGATGGGGGTACGGTGTAATTCCTTCCCGAGTGGAATGTGCCGGTACCTCAGAAGCCGGACACGGAGGAAGTGGAACGGCACCTGATCACACATCTGCCGCCAGCACCTTGGTGTGAGTTTTGCACCAGAGGCCATGCAATGGATGAGCCACATCGACGCAGGACAATGGACCAGAAGTTTGGCCGAAAACCATTTCGAGCTGGACTACAGTTTCCTCAAGACAGACACATCCATTGCCTGGCAAGAACCTGGAAACACCCTATGTGATCAAGACGGTGACTTCCTTCATAGCACAGCTGGGCTACATGCAGGTGAAGCTCCGAAGTGACAATGAGCCTGTGATCAAGAAGATTGTGGCCAAGATAGCTGGCGCATTGCGAGAAGGGAAAGCCCCAGGAGCTGAAGGACTCAAGATTCAATTCGAAGAGGTGCCAAGGTACTCATCTCAGAGCCTTGGGACAATGGGAGCATTTCAGAAGCTGCTCCGTGGTGATGTCCTTACCGTCAGGTACCAGACCGAAGCCAGCTATGGCATCACGCTCCACACCTCACACAACTTGTGGCCATGGCTGGTGAGGTGGTGTTCATTTATCAGGAGCAGATTCAGCGTCAAGGGCAATCAGAGGACAGCGTGCTTCGACACGGCATACACCTCGCAGCTAGTGCCCTTCGGTGAGACTGTGCTCTTCAAGATCCCCATGAGTAAGGCCAGGAGATCCCACAACAGAACCTGATCCCGACTGAAGAGACGGCCAAGAAGAGCCCCCGGCTGGAGCCAAGTGGGGAGGTCATCCAAGAGGAGGACGAGGGAGACTTTCCTGTGCAATCAGGTCCTTCGTCGGCATCAAGACCTACGGCTGATGTGGGCGGTGATGAGGCAGCACCTATGGATTTGGGTATGTCTGCAAGACGGGCATGGGCAGGAGAGTCTGGTGAGATGACTCGAGAGGCCAACAAAGCTCGCGTGGCTGGAATCTTTGTGGGTGCACTGTACTCGCCAACAGAAGACACCATTGTGTGCGAGGATGACGTGGACCAGGCCTATGAGGACTCAGACAATGAGGAGAGCAAGCCTTTGAGCAGGCAAGAAATGGATGAAGGTGATGCAGAAGAATTCCGCAAGATGGACAAGTACCAGACCTATGACCCTGTGGAGCAGAAGGATGGCATGAAGATCTTGGATGCCGTCTGGGTCAGAACCCGGAAGCCAGATGGCTCGGTGAGGTGCAGGTACTGTGTGAGAGAGTTCAAGCGGGGAGACCCGCGCACTGACGTGTTCGCGGTGGCATCCAGTACCTCAACGTCAAGGGTCATTGACATTGTGGGCATCAAGATGGGCTACAGCTTCTTGACAGCTGATGCAGAGAATGCATTCTGGCAAGTGCCAATTGCAGAGGAAGCCTACATGAAACCTCCCAAGGAGTGGTTGAAGAAGATGGCAGACAGCGGAGTCGATCTACCTGATCGCGTGGTCTGGAAGCTCAACACTGAGTGGTATGGCAGGCGCATTGCTGGCCAGGCCTTTGTGGAGTGGGCAGCTGGGCATCTCAAGGAGATTGACTTCAAGAGGAACCCAGCAGCACCCTGGATGTTCTACAACCCGGCCAGTGGCGTGTTGATGGAAGTGCACATGGATGACTTCTATGCCACAGGACCAAAAGCAGCATTGCTGGATGAAGAGTCAGATCCATGAGAACTGCGTGGGAGAAAAGTGGACGCACCTCAAGAGGACCCGTGAGGTCATGGATGGCGGCATCTTCCTGACACCTCGTGGGAAGTACATCAGTGATCTGTTGAAGATGTTGGGACTGGAAGAGTGCAACCCGGCTCCAACACCCTATCTGTGCTCGGAGGTCAAGGAGGGCAACAAGTTGAGTGGGGAGAGCTTGAGAATCTACAGGGCAGGAGTTGGCATTGCCCTGTACCTCTCCTACGACAGGACGGATGTGCAGTTCGCAGTCCGTGAGCTGACCAAAGACATGAAGGAGCCTACGGATGGAAGCCTACACAAGCTGCATCGTTTGGCACGCTACCTGCAAGGCACAAAGGACTATGGTGTGTGTGGTTGCCCAAGAATGGCGAGATTGAGATCCTGAAGGTGCATTCAGATACTGATTGGGCAAACTGCAAGAAGACCAGGAAGAGCTGTGCCTGTGCGACGTTTGAGGTCGGTGGCTGTTTGTTGTTCAGCTACGCCCGGAGCCTCCAGATGCTTTGCCTGTCGTCCGGTGAAGCTGAGTTCAACGGTGGCGTGGCTGCCTGCAGTGAGAGATTGTTCATGAAGGAGGTGTTTGCCTTCATTGGCTTCCCGCTCCAGATGGAGGTCTACCTTGACAGCAGCGCAGCCCGTGGCGTGTTCCAGTGACAGGGGGTTGGAAGGATCCGACACCTAGAGGTGAAGTCTTTGTGGGTGCAAGACGCTTTGCATCGCAAACTGTTCAGCTTGCATGCTGCGCCAAGCCAAGACAACACAGCAGACTTCGGCACCAAGGCTTTGGCAGTGAAGAGATTCAATGTGCTGAGGTTGAAGCTGGGCATCGGGCTGAAAGAGGAGACAGCCTATGAGCAGGAGAGCAAGAGGCATGTTGAGAGCATCAATGCTATTGCCCTCAGCGGGCTCAGCAAGCGGGCCCTGGTCATGGCCATGCTGACTCTCTTGCAGAGCGCTGAGGGAGTGAAGACTGAGGAGCCCAATACAGAAGCATCAAAGTGGGGATTTGATTGGATCTTCACGGACCTTGCAGTGGCCTTCGGCATTTTGCTGATCATGCAGGGCACGGCATTGTGGTGGTGCTTCCGCATGGTGGGAAGGCACCTTGCCTTGAGTGGGGGCTTGAGCTTCAAGCCGGCGCGGCCCGAGAGCAAAGATGTGGCCATCCAGTGCGAAAGGAACACTGGACGCTTTTCGGAAGTTTACATCCTGGAAGGCAGGGATGTGTTTCATTTGGACTCGACTTGTCCACGGCTGCAGCAGCGCAGTCGACCTTACTTGCAGCTGCGAAGCTGTAAGTGCTGCCCAGGCCTAGGATTGCCTAGCATCCCATGGGCGGCAGAGAGCTTGTGAAAAGCAGCTTGAGTCACCCGCTTTTCAAGTGGGGTGCAAGAGAGTACATACATCCTGTATAGCTTGTGATGTGTACATGTACGTGAGCCCCTTTTAGGCTGAAAAGTGCGCGCTACCCGCCTGCAATACACTGTTTGCAGGTTGTTTTGC